GGTTCCCTGAGGACCAGCCCATCACGATGGCAGATGCGTTCCAGAAGTCGGTGGACTTCAAGGCCCTAGGAGTCGTCAGGCACGGCAAGTCAGGCTTATTGGGGATCCGTGTTGCACGAGGGTCAGACGCCGCCAAGGCTGCTGCCGTCAGCATCCGTGGCTGCGAAGCCACCCTCGCCAAGACGCGATACCGCATCACTGGCATTGCGGCACGCCACGCCACGCTGACCCAGCTCGCTAAGACTCTCACGGGCCCGTCCGTCAAATGGGACTGTGAGGTCTACCACACCGCCTGGGACCCAGCCACTTCGGCTCAGTTTGCCTTAGTGCGCGCCCATCGTCCCCCACCCACATATACGGTACAGGTCGCAGGGTGCCCCATCCCGTGGAGCATCACCGAGGCCCCGTTGGCTGAGGTGGTGCCGAAGAGGGACAACGTTACCATTGTCACCCCTACCACTATCACAGAGCCTGTGACGCCGCCAGCCCGTGGTGGCGGCTTCAGCCCCGCCACGGGCACACTCCTAACCAAAGCGGCCCAGAGCCCTTACCTCCACGACCTCATGACTGCCACGCCCAAAGGCAAGGGCGTCGCACCGCTCCTGATCCCCAAGGAGGAGCCTTTAGCCAAGCGCCACCGATCCTCCAGTGGGAAACGCGACGCCACGCCGCACGCAAGATCACACGGCGCCCCAGGCCGCAGCTCCTCTGCACCCCCGCACGGCACGGATGGAGCTGCCGAGCAGACGGCCGTCCAAGCATCAGGTGGTCATGACCCGAAACTTGGCACGGTGGCGGCTGAAGGCGGGGGCCACACGGAAGGGGACGCTGCCACAGCCGCCGAGGTACCAGGCGACGCTGACGACGTCGAGATCCTTTCATCAGGTGATGAATTCAGCGTGGCATCTCACGAACTTAACACCCTCGGCGAACGCTTCGCAACGGCCCCTAAACTGTCCGATGCCGCCACGACCCGCATCCAACACATGGAACAACAGCACGAGCTGCTTGCCAACACGGTGGATAACATGCAGGTTCAGCTTGCGGGCGTTCTCTCATCCCAGGCCACACTCACGGAGCACGTTTCAGGTTTGGAACGAGGGCTTGCCACCGTCGTCACCCAGCAACAGACGGCAACCACCGAAGCTGCTGCACTGCGTGGCGACATCCAGGCCCTCCTCGGGCACCTCACGGGGGGCACCATCCACCTGCCACAGGTGGCCACTCTCGAAACAAAAAAGGAGGAAGCTGCATCAGTTGCCGATCCCGTGGCTGTCTGCGGGTGGATTGACCAGCCAGGCCAGGTCACCCCAGGGACGGGGCCCCCAGGGGCTGACAAAGGCAAAGACAAGGGTCGGGTCACTCAGGAACCCTATTGAAGGTGCCTCAGAGAGCCTGCCTCAGCCCTCCGAGGAAGCGCCTTCAGAGGCATCTCTTCTCTCTTCGCGTCGTATCTCTTTCTTGTCATATCATGTCAGTTTTGGCAGCAGCACGAGCAAGTTATCTGGTGTAGGGACACCCGTCATCTTGCTGTGGGCGTGTTTGTTGCAATGTACATGAGCATGCAGGGGTATCTGAGGATGCGTGCTGACATGCAGCTTTTGGCTCATCGCTCGCGCCGCCCGCCAGGCCTCGCCATCATGTGGCGCCTTGCCTGCAGCCTGGCCCTCCCCTCGCTCGCTGGAGCACACCCGTCTTCAGGCGGTGCGCCCCAGCACGGAGGAGAGGTTTTCCTGCGACACGCTGAACGTGGGATTCTTTTCTACCTCTACGATGACAGCATCTACAAGTACGATCACTGCACCATTTTGGACCCGATCGTGAACAGCACCGTAGCCGCGGGTCCGTGCGGCAACGGACCGCTGGGCGCCATCGTGAGCGCATACACGCCCTTGTCAACTACGACACATGCATCGAAATCCACCCCCAGCGTGGCCTCGACTGCGGTGCAGCAGATCCTTGACGGGGACGTTGATATAGGCCAGGCACACAGTGGCGGCTTCAGCCCCGCTGTCGTGCCCCGCTATTGCCCCACGGGTCTCACCACCCCCCTGTGCGCTAGGGGCGAACCCGAGGAGGACCCTGCTTTCTGGCACCTGATGATGATCCGTGCCCGGCTCATACCGTGTGCTGCGGCGTGGGCACCAGGTGAGGACCACCAGGACGTGTTCTGGGCATGGCTCGAGGACTGCGTCCCGTACATCCTGGCGACGCTTCATCTGCCACAGTACGATCACCTCTTCCAGGAGGATTCTGAGGACACAACCGACGCCCTGCGCCAGCGCACCGCGGTCGACATGTGCGAGGACATCTGGCACAGAGCGGGCCCCGACAGACAGCGCACCAACCGCAACCTCACTCGTATCCAGAGCAGCCGCGAGTACGCCACCCGCTACTTTGGCCTCCTTCTGGAATACCAGGGCGCTCGTGCCACGCTCGTCGGTCCTGAGGCTTTCACGGCACCTTTGCCGCCATACCTCTCACGGGCCCATGCTTTGCT